ACTCAAGTTTGCGCTTCTCACCCATGGCTCAAACAGAGCCCTTGATATTAGGCTTTCACAGGAAGACAACCATTTAAGAGCATAGACGGAACAATGGTCAACGCATTAAGCGCACATTCAACTGCTGATAAGAACATCTTATATTTAAAATTTTGCCGGGGACTGATGTTGAAAGCGGTGACGAAGCTGACTCGAAAGGGCTTAGTGTTAACGGGCCAAGGAACTTTTTCCGCCGCCATTTTTGGAGGGTCGCGACATCGAAATCTTCATCCTCACCAAGCCTGTCGCAAGGTCGATCTTTCCGCGGCGTCTCAATTCCCGGACGTGATATTGGCCGTCCTTTAACTTGTGTGCCTGCTGAACACGCTCGCTTGATTGCTATCCATTTGGTTTGCCAGCTTCAATTTGACACCATGTCTGACTACGGAGATCACGACGCTGAGGAAACGTAAGGACACCTCATTTAGACTGCATTTTCCAGTCTGGATTGGAAGCAGTCCTCTTGCATCGCTCTGCACAATCCACTGGCGAAAATTGTTTCTTGAGCTAGTTCAGCCTTTCTGACTCGCACATTTTACAGCTACGACTACGAACCCGCGGAGGACGTGTTCGACGAGAATGAGCCCGAAGACTTCATAAATCCCGAGGATATCGAAGGTGCCGAGGGAGGCGCCGATGGCTATGCGGATGATTCTTATACGCCGGCAGTCAATGGTGACCGTATTGTCGTCTCTGGCGATCCCAGTGCCGGATATTCGGGCAAGGTGGTGGAACAAGCACGGGCGAAGAAAATCCCCAACGAAGAACGCAAGACAACCCCGTATATGACCAAATACGAAAGGGCACGAGTCCTGGGTACCAGAGCTTTACAGATCAGGTTCGTCATCGTGCGAGATGTGGCATCCGAAGACCGTAGAACTGACATTTGTCACAGTATGAATGCTCCCGTCCTTGTAGATCTTGAGGGAGAGACAGATCCTTTGCAGATTGCCATCAAGGAGCTGAACCAGAAGAAGATCCCACTCATTGTGAGGAGATATCTGCCAGATGGAACGTAAGTTATCCCTTCACCTTGAGCATGGACGCAAGTCTAATCCGCTTTCGAAAAAATCTAGGTACGAGGACTGGACGTGTGAAGAGTTACTCTAAGCCCGATCACACTTTGGGTGGATGTCTGTTGAGACTGAGCTATTTGTTTCTACTTGTCATTTTAATTATGGTCTTCTGATTTGACGCCCCGCATAGCGTTCGGAGTTTGGGAGCAGGAAGCGAACCGCTCATTGCATTGCTAATGATCCGGTCGCCGGGATTTGGAATTCAGCAAAGAACAGAAAAGAAGTATACTTGACGTTTGATGGATAGAATATGAAAAAAAAAAAAGTTATGTTCACTCCATTGGCCCCGGGTTTTATCCACATCCTCAAACACCTGGAGTTTCCAATAATCTCTAGCATTTCCAACAAAATGTATGCTATGTGTGCTGTCTGCAGCCCTGCGCTCACAACCCTCGAGCATAACTCCCTATTGCACGATATCAGGGCAAAACATAATGAAAGACCGAACGAAGTATGCGAAAAGGTGAAGAGTACAGGAGTGTTCCCCCTGAAGAGTACGAAACCTTCATTTCTCTTGTCCCTTTGCAGGCTGGAGTAGCCGTTGCGACAAGACGAGTAGACAGCAAGTCTTTATCTCCACCTGACCTCAGTCACTTTGAGCTTGATGAGCTTGTGTTGGTGGACTCCAATATGATACAATCTGAAGTATGTAGCTTGTCTGTGGTCTGTAGTCCTAAGCATACAGCCTTCTTCCAAAAGAAGCTTAGCGTGAAATTCAAGATCATATGATAACAACTAGGCAGTCAACAGAATGTTGCTACGCAGTATCATACAGTTATCACCACATTCTTGAATCGCGCGGATACTGTTACGATCTCCGGCTGCAAGCATATATAGTCTTGAGTTCTGGTCTCTCATCTCTCCATAACTGCAAATGGGAAGCTAAAGTCTGGTTCATGCTGCCGAATGAACTGGCTCGGATCTAGCAACACAGAGTCTCGGGGGTTCGGTCTTTCGGAGTCTGCCCCAAACTCCCCAAGTTGACGATCCACATTCCACCACAAGTCATGTCTTACTCCATCTAATCCTTTTATTACTGTGATCTTTTTTTTTACTTGGCATCAGTTGAGTCTGGACTAACTTCATTCCTCGTCAGTTCAGAAGTCCAACATGATCAGGGGAACTTTATTCTTGTGTCCAGCGGCATCCAAAGCTACTGTTATGGCACAATCTTATACGCCTCGTTTCTATTATTAATGAGAATCAAGCTCCAAGCATCGTGAAGCAAGCTTATCCTTCCCCGCTGGATAAGTCGGCACATAACGTTTGTCCATGCTTTCGGCGGCTTGGGGCGCCTCAACTCACCTCCGTCCCGTTCTAATTGCTACCTCATCTGATAATCAATCACAGTTACAGCGGATCATATGCAAAAGCATATGACCATATTGCTGACTTGTTTTTAAGGCCTGAGTTTGCTACCGACTCTGGTAGCTGAGTGGGCCCTTGTCCCTCGGTTATCCATCAGGAGCCGTTGGCCATTATTGCTCGAATGGAAAAGACTTTCGGAGTTACCCCAAGGACAAGGATGAAGGCTTCTAGCGGTAGTCAATGCCGCAAGTAACTTACTACACCTATCAAATCTTGACCTGTTAAGGTCAATGGGCTCGATCCGAACAACCGACGCCCTAAAAGCCGGTCACGTATGTCTTGAAGACTGACTCATTCCTCTGACCTCCCAAGGAATACTTATGGACCGGCTCACAGTGGATCTCTCCTTTGGTAGCCGCAGTCCCAGTGGTCTATCGTATCGGGCCTCTGGCTGGCAAGCTTGGACTTTTTTAGTTGCCCCGCTGACTCTTAAGGTTGCTGAGAAATCATTATCGTATATAAATTTGGTCTTTGCGCATCTGCTGTTTTTTCCGTGTCGCATGTTGATAGAATTAACAGCTGTTGGGTGAGTCTTGATTTGAATTATTTTCGTCCGCTTCGAGTCGATTCATCGTCGGTCTTCAATTTGTAGTTCTATGCGGACTTTTTGGACTATACATACCCTTCTTGCATAGTTCGCCATCACATTTCCGCTACACATAGAACCGCCCGTGGTTTTTCGCGCGCTGAGTCCGACTTATACGATATTGCTCTGGAAGGACAGGAATGGGGATAAGGGCACATGCGGAGGAGACGGCCGTTGCGCCCTCGGCGAATAGCAACAACAATGATGAGAGCAATATGCGCACATCCGACGCATCAGAACAGCAGTCCGGAGAGAAGCATTCAGAAGAGCCAACCTTCGATACAGGCTTCCTGGCATGGCTGCAGGTCGTTGGGTCATTCTTCCTATTCTTCAACTCATGGTAGGTACAACATTTTGAGGCTGCTCTTTCGAACCGCTAATCGCAAGGTCGTCTTAGGGGTGTGATCAATACATGGGGCGCTTTCCAGACGTACTATGAACAAAATCTTCTCTCCAATGTTTCGTCATCGTCCATTGCCTGGATTGGCTCTCTGCAATCGTTCCTTCTGATGCTCTTTGGAGTAGTGACCGGCCCGTTGTTTGATGCAGGATACTTCCGAGCTCTGGTCATGTTTGGCACCGTCGTGCTCCCATTTGGCTTGATGATGACCAGTATCTCTTCGCAGTATTGGCACTTGATACTCTGTCAGGGAATTTGTGTCGGCCTGGCTGCTGGATGCCTATTCGTTCCCTCGGTTGCTCTTCTTCCCCAGTACTTCAAGCGGAAGCGAGGATTAGCCAACGGAGTGGCAGCTTCAGGCAGCAGTATTGGGGGTGTGGTCTATCCGATAATGTTTAATAAGTTGCAGGACCAAGTTGGATTTGCGTGGGCGACTCGCTCACTGGGCTTCGTAGTTTTCGGAACCTGCTGCATCTCCCTATCACTCATGCGCATGCGATTTCTGCCTACCGAGAAACGCAAGTTGGTCCAGCTGTCTGCCTTTAAAGAACCAGCGTTCGTGATGTTCGCCGTTGCCATGTTTCTGGGCTTCCTGGGCTTCTATAATTTCCTGGTCTACGTGCAGTCCTATGCCATCGACACGGGAATCGTCGATGCAAATTTGGGGTTCTATCTGCTCTCCATGCTTAATGCGGGCTCTACCGTGGGACGAATCTTGCCCAACTTCGTTGCTGATCACACCGGCCCACTGAACATGCTGACGCCAGCTGTCACAGCTACGGCTGTTCTGGCCTTTGCCTGGATTGGCGTGCACAATGTGCCCGGCATCATTGTTCTTGCCGTCCTGTACGGTCTCAGCTCCGGTGGGTTTGTCTCGCTCCCACCGGTAGTCATGGTCACTTTGACGAAAGATATCCGCGACCTGGGTACTCGTCTTGGCATGATTTTCGCCACGACCTCGATTGGTTTGCTGATTGGAACACCAATTGGTGGAGCCATCTTGAGTAATACCCATAAATACCTCGGGGTTCAACTCTTTACCGCTTGCTGCCTCCTCACGGCAGCCGCTATTTTTGGGGCCCTGCGATTCTCGCGCACTGGGCCCCGGCTGCTCGTCAGAGCATGATAACCACCAGTGTTACCAACGTTGCACGACTCATGCGAAGCGTTTGTGGCTTATCAAAAGCACATATCATATTAATCGGTACATATCACAGATGCATCGTCGGTTTTGGGGGCATAGATCGGTATTGCATTATAGATCGAGGCTGTGGCTTTGCTTTCGGGTTTGCACCGTGAACAGTTGTTCATAGTGAATGGGTTCTTCGCATTTTTTCATATATGCACTGTCCATGATAGGGTCTAGCATTCTCTTCAGCGGGAAATAAAAGTGATTTTGTCTATCATCAGCCCATGTTTTCGAATCCATATTGCCGCAGAAAACCAAAGTATTAAGCCCCCAACGCCAGCATGCTAAATCAACTGCATCAAGCCCCACAGCCCGCTCAAATGTAAAACCAAACGCTGCCTGCTACGAAACATCCTCCGGATTCACCAAAAATTCCTCCCCATTCTCGCGTATATGCTGCAATTTCTTATCTCGACTGCACGGTTTGCGCATATCGAACGCATCCTCGCCCGAATCCGACATCCCCGTCGGGTCATCGCTGTAGTAATTGACCACCCGCCGGAACACGGAGTACCCCATCCCCTTGTACATCCCCACGGCGACCTTATTCCCAGCGCGCACGTATAGATCAACAAACCAGGCGTCGTTGATATCGGATCCCTGCTCGAGTCGCTCGGTCAGGCGGCGCGCGTGGCCCAGACGTCGCCAGGCTGGGGCAACAGTCAGCACGGTGATATGTCCGTGCCAGGGGGTGTAGTGTTCCGAGTGGCGCATTGAAGGGTGTTGTTCTTCGAGTTTGCCCATGACTGTTGTGTGGTTTCATTAGCGACATGACAGCCTTACAGTGGCGATATAGCTGCGATGTGGCTTGCACGTACTGTACCCGACTATGCCTTCTGTGCGGTCTTTGACGGTGCTGAAGAGTGAGGGCCATCGCATGAGGTAGTTGAGGTAGAAGCCCAGGTCGTAGTTTTCGGTCAGCGGGTCGAGGTTGGTAAGATTCAGGGAGAGGAGGTCCGTTGGGGACATGCGCCGGATGGAACTCATTTTTGCTAATTAATAGGAAATGGCTGTCAATGGCCGTAGGCAAGCTCAGGAGAAGTGAAGCTCTTGGTGGTGTGGGGTGAAGATGAAATAAAGAAGCTGATGTAAATTAAGTGATCTGATTGGGGCTTCGGCGGTCACGGGAAGAGCGGCTGTTTATTCCTCTGCTGAGAGTAGTTCATTGTCTTCGCATCATCATCATTCTTTATTATTCTTATTGAGAAATCCATTCTTTGTGTCATGAGATTCGCCCATTCTCTTGTCTCTCCTTCTACTCTTCGAGCATCCTGGTGATGCTATGATTATTGAGAAATCCGCTCTTGTTATTTCCTCTCCCCAGTGTAGCCCCCCTGTCCGCGTCCAGCTCATTCCGCGATCGACATTTGACGATACAGACCCCTCAACTGATAAGTAAAACAACACAGTTGATCTGTCAGGACATCCAAAACCTTGAGGAGTGATTCTCAGTTGACTGTTGTCTGCATTCCTCGTCACAACCCCACGTGGGATCCTCGACCTCCTTTCAACTGACCTGCATCATGCCGGCCATCCCACCATCCCCCCTGAGACTGTCTCACCGCTATAGTCACAGCCAGTCCTCCAACCTCGATTTCGACCCCATCTCCCCCGGAACCTACGCTCCCAATGGTTTCTCTCAGAGTCCTATACGATCGCCTCGGACGCCTCGTTCCTCAGCGCCCCCTTCGCCGGGGGAACCCCGCCAGCGGAATGCGCAAGCCATGAACGGGTCGTACAGGCTATCAGGTGACTTCGGAGGCCCTGCAGACGCAGGGGGGCTGGGAAACCTTGCAGACGAACTCGCGGACGCGTGGGATGAAGAAGAGGAAGGGGGTTATGGCTACGTCTCTGGTCAGGACAATGCACTGGGGGACCTACAGGACGCAACCAGAAGTGACGGAGAGGACGACTACAATATGGGACCGCGATCGCCCTTGTCGGATTACGCGCCGGGCCATGTCTCGCTGCAACCGCCTCGGGTCAAAGCTCGCAACGGCACTCAACGAAATCACCGGCGACATGAATCGCAATACGACGGCTCCGACTACGGAAACGAGTCAGATTTCGAGGAAGCGGCTGACATATCGCCCAGTCTTGAGGGGCAGATGGCTGAGATCGAAAGCTTAGCCCGGCGAGGGATCGAGAACAACGGCAGTGAGAACGATCATGTCATCAAACGCGTTGTTGAGACGCTCCGGGACCTAGGGAGCCAGAGCGGGATCGAGAACAACGCCATGAGGTACGTTCGTCTTCCGAGTTGATAAACTCACAAGCATCTGCTGACCTCCGCAGATTAATAACAGCACACACCTCCATCGCCTCACATTTAACCCACCAGACCAGAACGCTTCAGACCCTCACGCACCCTCTCCTTTTCTCCCCCTATCCGCTCCTCTCTCCGGACGCAATTGATGAGCTAATCCCACTCATCGACGAAGGCCTTCTGCCTAACCTGCCCTACCCGTTCCCCGGCCAGACACGTCACTCCAGACCGACCACACCTTCGCAGTCGCCTTCCTTGAACCCACTCGTCTGCCTCCAGACTCTTATCGCACAAACCACGGACCTCACGCTGTCCCTCCGCGGCCTAAGCGACACCCTCTACGAATCGCGACAGCTTACTGCAACCGCCTCGCGACGACTGCGGTCCGCACGAGAACTCGTCGCCGAGCTGCGCCGCGAGGAGGAAGGCCGCGAAGAAGGCACCCGGTGGATCGAAAAGGGGGATTGGGACCGCCGGTTGCGAGACCGCGAAGCTGGCCGCGTCTGTCGGGACGTCGTCAGTGGGTTCGAGGCCGTGTGCGGCGAATGGAGGGAGAGGCTTTTTGGTGCGGCTGCTGTTGCCGCTCCTGGAGCGGAAATGGCCGCTGCTTAAGCCGGTTGCTTTCTTGGTCCTGTATCTTTGCCGCGATACATCGATTCAAATCCTGTTCATATGCCTTTATCTATGGGTTTCTTTGTAGCTTGCAACATACCCCCTTTTCTGTCTTTCTCTTCAAGAATATATAGATTTCTTCTGTCCGCGGAGTTTTGGCTATGCATTTGGTTCCAATATTTCCTTCTTCCTCGTGCGCTGGTTGATTTGTAAGTTGGTCTGCAGAAACCTGGACCACCGCGGAAAATAGTGATAGAGCCAGATTACGAACACGAGCTACAGTTAGGACCACATAAAAGAGAAATAAAGTAGTGAAAAATCATATTCTTCCTGCATTATTCATCCAACAAAAGTCGTCTGACGTAAGATATAGACGGGAAAACCTGGACTTCATTTATGGGACAAAAATGCAGTCAACAACAGACATGATGGCTACCCAGAGAAGAAAGGGGTGGGTCCCCACTCTCTAGATTCATGAAACATGAGAAGAACAACCAGACAAGGTAGCAGAGACACCGTTAGAATTAAAAGAGAGAGAGTGAGTAAGAGAATGCAAATGAGGGGTATGAGTCCTCCAAAACGGACACGAATCATACACCCTTCACGTTTCAGCAGACGGAAACTTTTTTGCGTTCAAATTTTTCTTTTTGAAGATTCAACAGACAAGGGCTTGCTTGATCGCTCTAGCTCTACTGCTGCTGTTGCTTCCACCGGGGGACCCACTTCTGAGGAGCGGGGGCACCCTCGGGCTTGTCGGAGCTGGCGGCGGTGGGGGGAGTCTGTGTGCGGGCGGGTGGTTGGGAGGAGCTGGATTCGCGCATGTGACGGGGAACGTATTTCTCGGGGGCAGGACCGTTCGAAGGAGGAGCAGCGGGAGCTGCGCTGGCTCCAGAGCGGAGGTGAGGGGGCACGTATCCGCCGGTTCTGCGGGGGAGCTGGACCTCTTCCTTAGGTGCCTCAGCTGTAGGAGCAGGTGCGGCGGCGGGAGTAGGCTCGGCGGCAGGGGCAGCGCCGGTAGCCTCCTTGGTAGCCTGGCGCTCTCTCCAGCTGGGAGCACCGCCAGTACGAGATGCGAGGTTAAGGCGAGGAGCTGTCCGCTCCGCGGGGCGTTCCGGCTCAGCAGCACGGGCGGGAGGTTCTGCGAGGCCAGACTTTCTAGCCGCACGGCGAGCCTCGGCTTCCTCCTCACGCTGCTTCTGCCGTAGAGCAATCTCGTCGAGTCTCCTGTATCGTAAGTTAATATCATTGGAATAAATTTTATAGAACTGGGGAGAAACTGACTTTCTCTCTTCCTCACGCTTGGCTTTCTCTTCAGCCAAGACGCGTCTGCGCTCCTCCTCCTTGGCGATACGCTCCTCCTCCTCGCGTTTGGCCCGCTCTTCCTCCTCCTTAATACGGCGCTCTTCCGCTTCACGCTCGGCCCTCTCGCGACGGCGGCGCTCCTGAACTTCCTTGACACGCTGCTTCTTCTTAGCCTCGAACTCCCGCTCGGCGGCCTTGCGGCGCTTCTCAAACTCCTCGTGGCGCTTCTCCGACACCTCCTTGCGGAAGCTGCTGAAGACGGGAACAAGGCGGCTGAGACGGTGCTTGAGAGCAACCGCCTCCTTGTGCTTCTCTTCGGCTTCCTTGAGAGTCTCGGCCTTGATGGCCTCGTAAAGCTCCATGTCACGCTTCTTCTGGGCTTCATAGTCTTCGGAAATGTGCTTCAACTCCTCGCGACGGAAGGCCCGCTCCAGGTGATCGATACGCTTGGCAGTGGTGCGGATGCGCTCATTGAGCTCGTTCTTCTCCTTCTCGAGCTGGGCAAGCTTGATGGCGCGCAGCCGATTGGCATCCATGTCCTCCAGGTCGATCTCGCTGATGTCGATGCCCTTGACACCACTCTTGAGCTCCTCCAGCTGCTTCTTGAGCTCCTGCTGGCGGATACGGTCCTGCTCATCCTTCAGACGCTTCTTCTCGCGTTCCCGTTGCTCGTCAAGTAGTCTTTGCTTCTCAGCTTCTTGCAGCTGCTGAGTACGGATACGTTTACGGGTCTCCTCCTCTCTCTGCTTGCGCTGCAGAGCATCGGTGGCAGCTTCCTTCTTCTTGTCGATGAGGACACGGCGGGCAAGGGTCTCCTCGTGCTCCTTGGCGGCACCAGCCTCAGCGCGAGCCTGGGCGGCCTTCTTGGCCTGCATACGGGCCTCGTTATAAGAAGGATCGACGTACATGCATGTGACGTGGAGGGTCTTGGCGAGACGGGTGAGCTGGAGGCGGGCGATCTCAGCAGGGGTGTTCTGCAGACGCTGCACCGAGCCGACCTCGCTCTCGGCGGAACCGGCGGCGCTGCCGGGATGCAGAGCCTTGGCGGAAGAGAAGATATCGGTGTCGAAGGTCAGAACACCAGAGGTGTGGTCGACGCGGATAGAGAGATCGCCCTTCTTGCATCCGTTCATGATGAATTTCTCGATCATGGACGGGGTGATCTGGAATGGATCGGGGAACTGAGCAAGCTCGTAGACAAACTTGAGTTCGACGGACTCGTAAACCTGGGACAGCTGCTGGAAGAGACGGGTGAGGATGACCTGCTGCAGGGGCAGGACGTACTTCTCCATCTCGGGATCGGCACCGATCTGCTTGAGGATAGGGGTGATCTTCTTGCAGATGGAGAGAGGGTGGAAGTCAACCTCCAAGATGTTGTAGAGGTCCCGGATTTCAGGACGAGCACGCTTGAGCAGGCCCTTGTTCAGGGCATCCCGGAAGAGCACCGCACGGCTGGGTGGCTGAGCCATACCGAGCAGGTTGGTCAGCCGGGTATTCTTGTTCTTGCGGACCTCATCAACATCAACCAAGGCGCCTCGAGAGCGAGAGGTGCTGATGACGGGGATCGACAAAGCAGACAGAAGGACAAAGGAAGCGGCCTTGGTCATGTCAGCCTCAGTCACCGATGGGTTCTCCTTCTTGGTGCCCTGGCCTGCAGAGAGAGCAGCGGCGGACTGGCGGAGAAGGTTGTAGTAGCGGTTCCAGGCGGCAGCATGGAAAAGGTAGTTCTCGCTGACGAGGAAGATCCGCGCAAGCTTCTCGTAGTAATTGGCCATCATGACGTTCTTGGCGGGGCGCTTGCTAAGGCTGAGGAGAGTGTGAATGTCCTCAATGCTGCGGAAAGCCTCCTGCCACAGCTCCAGCTCCACAGCAACATTCAGCTGCTGGAAACGGGTATCCAGGTGGCGCTGCAGAGTGTCGGGATCGCTGAGGTTGATAGCGTGCATCTGAGCGGAGTACTTGGCGGCGTTCTGGACGTGGTTACGAAGCAGCTCGCAAAGACGGCGGAACTCGGTCTTGCGGGTGTACTTGAGGCAAAACTGGAAGGCTTGCAGGGCGGTAGTCTGATACATGACCTCAAGGCGAGCATTGTTCTTCAAGATCTCCAGGACGGTACGGTAGGTCTCCCAAAGGAACTTCAGCCATGGAGTGACAACAGCGCGGTCGGTTCGGTCGCGGGATTGTTCGCCAGAAACAGTAGCAAGCAAAATGGTCTCGGGGGTCTCGATCGCTTCCAGATCCTCAACGTTGGACGATGGGGCAGCGGACTCCAGAGAGGACTGGATCTCGTCGGCTTTGGCCTGGGCCTCGGTCACCTTCTTCTCGGCGAGTTCGATGAACTTCTTGAGGACGACCTATTCGCAGCACATATATCAGCCCCTGCAAATCATACCACAAATCAAAGTTCCTTTGCCTACCTCGATGGTTCCCACATTGGTGTTCTGGGCGATGTTTTTGTATTGGTAGAGACCATCCTTGGCAGCCTTTCCTTTGCGAAGATCGACGCACAATTCAACGAAAAGGAGCATGACAGGTTCGAGAGAGGCGATCGGACTGCTGCGCGTCCTCTTAGAGGTGACATGTTCGTGGAGGACATTGAGGGCGGCGGGAGCCTGGCCCACGGCGATAAGTTCCTGAGCCCGCTGTAGTGAGAGAATCACGAGGTCAGTTACCAGTCTCTGAATTGTAGAATCCTACCGATGATATTTTTCATGATCACCACTCACTTTCAGGACATTTTCCGGCTTGATATGGGGTGGAGGCGGCATGGTGGGCGATAGACCCTGTGGGTTTTCAAGATGACACTGGTGAAAATCGTTGACACAGAGAGGATTCTCGGATCAAGGCTGGAGAGATGTCGAGGCGAAAAATGGCAAATCGCACAACGACAGGCGGGCAACACTGTTCAACAGTGTAAAAACGGCCCTTTTCTTGATGATGCTGCCACGCGACGGTCGGCCAGAAAGAAAGTGAGGGCGGCGGCGGCGTCGTTGTGGGAGAATCACGAAAAAAACAGGTCCAACTGCGTTCCCACATTGGGATAAGCGACCGCAGATCACGTGATCGAGCGGACAATAGAAGGTATACTCCCCCTCTTGAGTAATAATAGAACGTACACGTACATAATATGCTGAAGATGCTCATCTTGTATGATTGAATATCAATCCATAGGTGAAAGAATTGGTTTCTTTGCTAGGTCCGTCCTGATTTCCCTCGAATTGCTACTGACGAGTCGACTGGCTCCTGAACTGCTTGTGGACCGAGAGCAACCTGGACGATCGTATGAGATCTCAGCTTCTACCACAATACCGATTACATATGTGTTCGAACTTGGATATCTACTCTACTCCGGACTTCCGATCAATCTCCAGAGCCAATCAGCATGTGCATCGTTGAAATGCAGAGTAGACGCCGCCGGCTGAGATGCGTTTAGATCACGTGATTAGATACTGTACCTCAGATAGGTACCGAGTGTACTGTAAGGTAAGTTTGGGACAGCTCTGATACATTCTTACATTCCAGCCGCTGATGAGGGGTCCACGTGAGATACTTCAACATGGAGATTCCATACATCGAAAAGCATCAAATCATAGATGGATGTATGTAGACTTAAAATGATACTCATTCTTAACCTGTTTCAAGGATCCTCAAATGCCCAATCTTTCTGATACCGTCGCTTTTACCAGAAGAAAAACCCCCAAGATTAAGCCCCATCCGTCCAGACTGTTCAAAGTTTAAATAAGACCATCGTCCGTAGCACCGCACCAGTGCTCTCAGGGGGGTTTCACTTGTCTACTTTGGAGTCAGTACGATCAGTCCATCGCCTTTTTCCCACACAGTCGGAAACTGTCCAGTTCCTGCGAGAGTGGACTTGGCTTGACCTTTTCATTATTAGTAGTTATTACTTATCTACTCTCACTCTGGTGTCTTGTCCTGCTCGTGCTAGACTGCTAGTAATAATCATAATAGTCCTCCCCCCGTCGCTCCCTCTCCAATAGTAGGGTCTCATTTTCTCCCTCCATTTCTTCTTTGTCTTCCTTCTTTTCTTCTGATACTCTACTACTCTTCCTCTACTCTTTTTTTATTTTATTTTCCTTTCCTTAATTTCCCCACTAAATCCATTCGTTTCCTACCGCTGATCCTCTCGCCCTCTCACTCTTTCTGTGTCGACTGTTGACTGTTCAGTAATCCCCTCCCTTTTTTGTGGTCACTCCGCCCGCTTTTTCCGGATTCCCCTTACTCTCCCGGTTCAGCGCGCCAAAGCTTCTCCTCAACCCAGACAGACTACCTACCCATCAGGGCTCAGCAACTCGCCACGGTCTCCCTACCCCGTTGTCGCGTGTAGGGAATTATCTACAATTGTCCTCTTCACTTCTTCGACTCTCGGTGATCACAGAAAACCGAATCGAAAATGCCTGCCTACGAGCTGCGATCGGGGGGAGATGTCAAGAACAAGAAGCAGAGTGTGGCCGATCTCAAATATCGTCGCTTGACAGAGCTCAATGCTCGCTTAAAGGAGGATCTGGATCGTCCTCGAGTGAAGGTGTCCGAGGCTGCCATGTCGTAAGTGTCCGATTCCAATTGCCTTTTGCAACCGTCATCGTCTCTGTCGATCCATCTATGATGAGCGATGGGATCGTTGTGATCCAGTTGCCGACCGCTGTGCGGACTTGACCCGAATACTCACAAACCGTTCTCTGACCAGGTTGATCAACTACTGCAACAATACTCGTGATTTTATGGTACCATCTGTATGGGGCCAGGTATGCGATTGACCTCGATGTGAAGAAAGGTGATCAGGAGGCGGAGTGCTGACACAAACCCAGGTTGACAAGCGCGAGGATCCGTATGCTCCTCAACAACAAGGAGGCTGCTGCACGGTCATGTAATGGTGTCATGACACTGAATGCTTTTATTTTTTCCGAAATCGAAGACGGCTCGACTTGATTTTAAAGCTGTTGTTCGCGATCTTCTATTCCCTATCGGCATGATTTTCCCGCCCCATTTCTCTCTTCCTTTCGCCTAATACTTTTGACATCATATTTGGACTCTCGGGATTCGACATGGCTTCCCGCTTTCTATCATCACGACGATAATTGAAAATCACCTCATCCATCGAACAATGAAACCTTGTAATCGTGACGGCTGTGTCTGTGGGCAATTCTGCGGCTATGACGGGTCGACTGGAAGAACGCGCGCTGGTCTTGCAGAGATTCCGGGAGGCCGACCACTGAACGAAGCATGCGTCGCATCGCATCACATCACATCGTTCCTGGGATGATCATTGATATCAGCGTCCAGCTATCCGTGGTGCACTTGAGGATGCGCCGACTCGACTTTATCTTCTTCTATTCTATATTCTCTATTTTCTCTCTTCTAAAACTTCCTCTTCTATCTACGTTGGTCTTCGTCGTCTCCGAATTCGAGTGATTGTGATTCTGCCATATTTCCTTTGTCTGCAGTGAGTGAGTGATTGGTACGGATGGTGTTTCATGGGTTCGAAAAGCACATTCCTCGGCTGTTGAGGCTGAGAGCAAAGTCCCAGCATCTTGTAAAGTAGAAATCGCTGGTTTCCAGCTCTAATACAGCAATCAATGTCTTACCTTACCAGTCTAATGCCTAGTCGCATCCCACTACTGTATTTCATCTTAACCATCCTTATATAACCAAGCCCGACCTTGAGAAATCCGCCCACTCGCTGACATCATCAACCACCTCACCACCTTCGTCTCAACGGCCCTCCAGTCTCAATAACACAAATAACAACGTAGTCCAACTATACAAAGTTCACCAACGCGATCCCTGGTACATAGTGGATACAGTGAACCTGAAAATGACCGAGCCAACCCCGCCCATCGAACAACATCCACCAACCTCGACCTCAAGCACAGGCACAAATACAAATCCCCCCACCACCACAACAGCAACCACAACTACAAACCTCCCCCGAATCACCATCAGATACTGCACGCAATGTAAATGGATGCTCCGAGCCGCTTATGTACGTCCCGCTGCCCTTTCCCCCTCATCGGAACCAGGACCAGTATCAGTACATGATACAAAACAAATGCTATTGCTATTGCTAACGTGGTTGCGGAAAGTTCGCCCAGGAACTCCTCTCTACGTTCTCGACGAGCCTTGGCGAGGTAGCCCTCGTGCCGTGCACAGGCGGGACGTTCATTGTGAGTATTACGTCTGCGTCTGCATCTGAGACGGGGGTGCGGGAGAGTGTGCTCTGGGATCGGAGGGTTGACGGGGGGTTTCCTGGTATGTTACTTTCTTTCTTTCTCTCTTTCTTTCTTTTAGGGAAAATGGGGATGTGGCTTCGTTTGGTTACTGGAATTGAGATGGGCTGATGCTGGATAGAGGTCAAGGTGCTCAAAAGCCGGGTGAGAAATGTGGTTGATCCACAGAGGGATTTGGGGCATACGGATCGGGCCTTGAGGCAGGAGAGTGGAGGTAATCAAAGAGGGAGTCAAGAGAAGGAAAAGGACAAGTGTGAGGATTGCCAGGCTTAGTGATGCTCCCGATATGATAGACGAAGTCCTATATTCAACTCTATATATCAAGATCAATCTTGAGCTTGCCAGAATGACAGGACAGAAGATGGACTTCAATACTTTGAACGAGACTCGCCGAATCTAGCATGACAAGTGAACAGCAGGTTGGCTAACCGTGTCGATATGAATCGTGATATGGTGATATGAATCAACAACCGCAAAAAAGAAATCGAAGAGGATGTCACAAAAACAAGAAAAATGATACAGTTCAGTCCACGCATGGGGAGAACTCTGGATCCTCCAAACGCCAACCCACGCCCCGTTTCTAATTTGATTTCCTGATCCCAACCGGTCTGCGTTGCATCATTGGGAATCAATCATGATCGCCCACAGAAAATCCAGCAAATAAGGAAGAAAATGAGAAAGAAAAGAAAGGAAAGAATATAGATGGTGAAGAAAGGCAGCAAAGAAGGAACGAGACTTGATAGCCGGAAGGGGCACTTCCAACTCACTCGGCAGTACTAAAGCGAGGACGGCAAGGCAAATTGCCTGACCATCGAATAAATGCATGTGTGATTGAGTGTAGAGCTGACCGAGCGTCCAAGCCTAGTCGTAAAATCATACAATCCATCGTAAGCACAAGTTCGTCAGCGGATATACCAATTCGTGAGTCCTTCATCATTCCTCCATTTCGGGTCCCAACCATGTATCGCCAGGAGCCAAACACCTTGAGACAAAATCACCAAGAAAGCAACATTAGGCCAGGAGAAGGTGAAGCGAGATGGAAAAGGAAAGCTCAAGTCTCCCCGCTCAGCTCATGGTGATGCGAATGATGCGGTTTGCGCTTCCAGAACGCCAAGCGAAGACGACTCCGCCGTTTCGGCAGCCTGCGTGGAGGCTGCTCACCAGCCGTTGGGTCATCCCAAGGGGGATGCCCCTCATTCTTGACGCTCGGTGTTGTCGTTGGAGAATGCGCGGGGCTGTTGGACCCGTTCCCCACTACGGAAGTGGCGATAGGACTCTTCCTCCCGTCATCCATGTGTGAATGAGAGGTGTTGGTATCGCTGAAATGGGTGTCAGCCTCGGACGGCCCTTCACCGGCGGAGTACTGTTTCGATGAACCGGGCCGTGCACCGTCCGACTCGTCATGCTCATCTCTGATGTGTTCCCGAGAATGGCCCTTTTCGTCCCCGCTGTCGACAGTGACGAAACTGGTAGCATTGGTGGCCGGGGAAATGGGCGTCATGGTATTACTATATGTGCTCAAGCTGTGCGTGCGCGTGCAACTGTTGCGCTGCGAGTTCGGTGCGCCTGAGCCGCGTCCGGTCGAGTTCGTGTTGGCATGATGGCGACGGTGCCCCTGCGGTCCCTGCCGAGAACTGCTCGGTCGCTCTACTTCTCTTTCAGTGGATTCACCACTGGTGTGATGGGAGTTGAAGCGATTCGGGTCATCGGACGTGTTGGCAAAGATGACGGCAGCAGGAACAGCGTCAATCGAAGAGCGCCTGAAATTTTTGCCAGGTTGCCCTCCGAAATCTCCAGCTTGCTCCGATCCATTCGTCTCAGGAGACGTGCCGGGTACCGAGATCATCGCGACGTCAGGAACCGCAGTGGAGGATTTTCGAGAAGGTACGGATGGCATCGGACTGCCTGTGATATCCATCGATGGGCCTGGGGTGTCTGGCGACACGACAGGACTGATGGTGTTCTCATTGTAATCACTCGGAGATGATTCAATCGTCCCAAAGTAGTCGCCGGTGGCTTCGCGTCCCTGCGTCGCAGGGTTCTCAGGGTCAAGCGCCGACCTAGCAGAGCTCTCATTCAACGGTGGACGCAGACCTTTGAAACTCGCGGCCGGGCTCTGCGAGCGAGGGGAAAGGCCGCCCTCGAAACGCGGGTCTAGCAACGACTGCTTCCTTTTCTCCATGTCGGCCAGAAAGTGCCAGCGAGTCTGGTTGGTCCGGATGTGCTCGACTGTGAATCGCAGCTCAGGCAGAAGGTCCGAAACGCCCTCGAAGAGAGGGAGAGCGAAGATAGACATGAACCCGATCTGACCGGTGGCGAGCTTGTAGACGTTTCCTAGCTCCGGTGGACCACCAAACAAAGCAGTTTCCATGCCTACCTCTCGCTCCATCTCTCCCTGATTGGCAAATTCTTCCTGTAGAATCTTGGTCCATTTTTCGGCGATATCCCACGGCCGTGCCACATTGCTGATGTCAGCACATTTGATCAAAAGGCCACAGACAAGCGTTTTGTAGATTTCAATATCCTGCGGCTTCCAGCCATCGACAGACTTGCCATTCGCGTAGAACTTCTCCTGCAGAGACCCCAGCCGTTCCATAAACTTCTGATGTACGCCCATGTCGGTTGCCAGAATCGAACTGATGAGCAGTTTCCGAAGTTGTCTGTCCTTGAAAGCCGCAGGCCAGTGGCGCCGCAGGATCTGAGAGAATGCAGCGCAGTGAAAGGCCTCCAAGACTGAATTATCATTGTATAGTTGCGCTAACGGAGCGTTGAGCTTCACCAAGAAGAAATTGTTGACTCCAGGATGACCAACGTCGTGGCCGATTGCCGAAATAAGCAGGGTTAGAGTGTCGAACGGTGTCAAGAGAGATGCAATGGAGGATGGCGAATCAAGACTGGGCCCAACAGAGCCATATGGGGGCAATGCACCAATATGCACCAGGAAGCAAAACACTGATTGCAGCACATCAATGGCATGTCGGAAATTATGGTAGAGGACAAATGAATTGTACGATGCGCGGCAGGCGAGCAGGAAAGTTCGAAGCTCACCTACGAAAGAAAACGGTACTGTGTAAGTCAAGTCCTTTAAGAGTATCAAAAACCACAAATCACTTACAGGGTGTCAATCGCCATTCATCTAAGTTGGGCAGAGTGAAAGCATGCTGAAGCATCTCGCAGGCCCCAAACACGAGTTCGTCTTCGGAGAATTCATGAGCCGTGAAGTTCCACTTCCCGATGAACCTCCTCACAACTTCCTGCCGCTCTGGACTCACATCCAAGTCCCTTTTACATGTTAGCTGGTGGGTAAGAATTCGAAGGTAGAGGCAAACACACCTGTCCTGGAACTCTTCAATGACTTCCTCGGGGTTACAAATACCCTTCATGAGTTTGGATACCCTAGGAGAATAAATTAGCACTGCGCTGCCGCATTATGCGAATTGCACTTACATTGCCTCTCTCAAGTAGGCATACGGCTGCTCATCGTGCACGCCCACCCACGACTGTTTCCGCGACTTTTTCCTGGCGAGGAAGCGAGATTGTTCCTTGCGCGCCGACTTGTGCACCCGATAGGCATGGACTATCAAGCCCTGCACTCTTGCCCTGTCCAGTGGTGTCGAGAGAACGTCGACCGCGCCTGCATCTAT